CATGGTGTTATTGAATTGTGAAATAGATGTTAAACGTGAACTTGTTTGGTGATTCGGGATCCTAGTGCATTTTTCATACATTAATTTTTTCAACATTTTGCATTCAATATCATTTTGCATTTATTTAGTTACCTTAGTTTAAATTTCATTTTAGTCATAATTTAATTACAAAATTCAAATCATCAACTATCTTGAGTTAAATAGATTCGGTTAAAGTCGCGCTAATAGAAATCAAATTAAATCAATCATCGTGCGATGGTACTCGACATTTTACAATTTCCACTTTATTACTTCTTAACGAAATGTGCACTTGCGGTGATTTATAAAGTGAACATATTTTCATGAACAAAAGTATTGTATACTGTTTGTTGTCTATTTGGGTGAAGCAATTGTAAAAAAATGCGAACTTGCATTTTCATTCTGCAATCAGTTTTGTTTAATAACTGTAATTTTTTTTTTCCAAAACATTTTATGCTATTACATGTTGAATCAAGATCACTCTATGTCCATGAGTCTAAGCAACCCTTTTTATAGAATCTGTCATGGTTTCGAATGTCGAATTATCACATTTCGATGGAAAGGAAGATTATCTATTTGGAAGCAAAAAATGAATGACATTTTGGTCCAACAAAGGATTGCTAAAACACTTGAGAATCCTGAAACTTTTTCTGTTGAACATAAAGAAAAGCCTAATGAAATTGAAGACGTGAATGAAATTGCATACAATTCCATAATCTTACATTTATCTGATAATATTATAAGACAAGTTCATGAATCTAAAACTACTAGAGCCTTGTGGATTGTACTTGATATCTTGTTTTCGACTAACTTCACCAAATAAAATCTATCTTTTGAAAAAGTAGTTTAGTTTTAGAATGAATCCTTAAAAGAATTTGGAGGAAAACTTGAATGATTTTAGTATCATTGTTAAGGGCCTTGCACACAATGATAAGAAATTTGATGATAATGATCTCTCTATTGTTTTGTTGAATTCTTTGCATGAATCTTACAAAGATATCAATTATATATTCAAGAGATAAACTGCTACAAACTATAGTTATTGATCCTTTAAGATCAAGAGAGTGAGAGGTTGAGTTAGAGGTTGAGAAGGAATCCAAAACTAACTCTACAGCAGAGTGTATGTTTGTAAGAGGAAAATAGATAATAAATTCTAGAATAAAAAGAATAATGGAAAGTAAAAAAGGAGATCTAAAGCCAAAGATAAGAGTAATAAAAAGTGTTATAGACACTTTAAAAGAGTTTGTTATGAATAGAAGAAGACACAAAAAGAACATAACACTGACAAATTGAATAATGCTGTAGTAGGTCCTGAATTGGACAATTTGTCTAGTGAAGAAATGAATTAGGACTATCACAATCATGGTGTACATTTCATATGTCATATCAGATCCTAATTTGGAAACAATAAGGAGATAGATCTTAGAAAAGTATATATGAGTCATAATAACTTACAAACTATGGTTAGAATCGATGACATTGCCATCAAAATTAATGATGGCATTGTTAGATCAATGAGAAATGTCATATATGTCTCAAATCTAAAAAGAAACCTCATCTCATTGGGGATTCTTGAAGATGAGTGATGGAGGGATCCTTAGTTGTAATGAAAGGACCCAAGAGGAATGGATTGTATGTATTGGGAAAATCTCACTGAATGAGCTTTGAAATAGGTCTGCACACTGATAAGTGTGGTTTATACACTTATTCGAAATCATAAATGATGATATTTTATTGTTATTTGGATAATATACTACCTAACTTGTGTTGTATTGCATTTTGTAGTTAAATTCGATATTTGATAAAGAATTGGAAAAAATAATGCACAAATAACGAAAAATGGCGAAATCCAAAAGTCGAGGACTAAATTGAATATCGAAGATACTAAGCATTTAATTTGATACAATAGGAAGATAAATGAACAAGATTGCAAGAGAAACGGGCTGAAATGAAGCAAATCCAAAGTTCGAGGACTAAAGTGCAACTACTAAAAAGTTTTGTCGAACCTCACAATAAAAATTTGAGATTTATAGGGGTCAATTGGATGGAGGAAATAAGTCAAAGGGATGAAGCATAGTCAAAATATTATCACACATCAACTTTTAACCGAAAAAGTAGTGTTTCAGATTTTTAGTCTCATATTAAGACCCAATTTTGAGATAGAAAGCTTTTGAATGGAAAAATGATACTTCCATAAGAATTTTAGCTCTATGAGTTATCTCTCCAATGCTCTTTGAATCACTTCAATCGGATATCGAGAGAGATTGTTATGACAAAAATATTGAGAACTGTTTAGCTGCCGAAAATTAGACGTGGCGCACGCCCCAACCAAAAATGGGGTGATTGAGGCATACAAAACCAGCCAGGCGTGCACCCTATATATGCCTAGGCGTGCACCTCAGTACAAAAAGGAAAAAAATCCACTTTTCCTTATTTTTGTTTTGGTAAAAATTCGATGCAATTTTTTTGGCATCTTTTAAATACCAACCTCAAATAGAACATGGAAGGGGGCTATTCAACCTAAATTTCATCATATTCTACATATTTTGGAGGCCAAGAACAAGTCTATACATCAATTCAAGGCGAATCATACAAGAATTTTGAAAATTCATAGTCTATTTTTAACATTTGAGCTAAAAACATGGATTTCTCTTACTTCTTTCTTATTTCCAAATATTTTTTTTCAATTATTCTTGTTTAATTTAATTATAAGAATGTTAGGCTAATTTTTTCATTGTATTGGATAAATGATGAACTCTATTGTTTGTTTATTTTAATTTAAGACAATTAGTTTAATATTTCTTGATTTTTTTGGATTGGTTTTGTATTTCCATTGAACTATTTGATTGTTTGATCACCAATTAGATAGTAAGTTGCTTGTTGTAGTGAAGAAATACTCACAATAAGTTTAGAACGCAATAAAATCAACAAATGGATAATACCAATTAGATAGTAAGTTTCATCTTTGATTTTGGAAGTGAGTGAATGAATTTGATGCTTTGAATATTTTTTCCAACATGAAAACCATCCCTATATATATGACTACAACCTCCATGCACAAAATATTGACAAAATCAAGTCAAAGGGG